ATATATAATAAAAATCACTATATCCACACCCACTATCTCTATCTTGGCTATTATCTTTTTCTTGGTTTCTATGGTGAGCACAGTTCTTGACACTTCACTCTTTTTAGGCTTCATAATATTATCAGTTTCTTTTTTAAATAAAAAGTTCAGAAAAGCACTTTAAAAAATTCAAAGAACAGAAATTAACTAGCGCAAAAAAAAATTATATAAATGTGAGGCCCGGATGAAATTCGAAATTTGGTTTTAATATGTTAACGAATATTCGATGGGACAGTTAAACGCTCGCCTGACAGTCTCGTGAAGACTATATAAAATTCTTTGTCAGAAATTTAAGCAAAAGGCTGGAATTACAAGGGAGGGTTTCAAAGTTCGAATTATTCGATCAGTATCGGGTTGAGCGTCGATGTCGATGTTTCCCGAGCTCCGAAAGGTTTCGAATTGTCACCTGGAGACAAGAGAAGACCAATCGGCATTCACTATTTTACGTCACTTCTCTTGTGTTTGTTCTGTGAGGTGTTCGTTGTTCGAACATAAAAATCTTTTGCGAAAGTGTTCGTTCTCCGATTTGTTCGCAGTCCGAACTGTTCGTTAACTGATCACCCACTATACCCCAAAGTAAGTATTTTTATTCAAAAATCACATAAATTTTCATTGTTAATTTTTTTAACATGTACATGAAAGTCGCAGGAAAAATTTTTAGCGTTTTTTGTATATATTTTTATTTTATTTTATATAAGTTCGGACACGTGCACTGCTTATCTCGCCGACCACGCGACTGCACCGTGCAGTTACCTATCTCGTATAAGTACGCGTCTTGCCCCTCGCCACCCGCTGACAGCAAAAATATAAAGCTTACCTAGATGATATCTTTTAATTTATATGAATATTTAACAGAATAATATACAGCCTATGTCTACCCTGAAGTTCCATTATAAATATTGGTAAAAGAATTTTTGAAATCGGATGATTAGATTCGGAGAGTACATACTGTACAAACTTACAAACATTACCTCTTTATAATAATAGTGTAGATATTTAAAACAATTTTTTTAAAAGTTCTTAAGAATCTGTGATTTTATTATTTGCTGCTTGTAACCAGGGCCTCGAAAGCTTGATATGTGGCCCGAGTAGAGCCTGTCTCTTTTGTCCCTTAGCGAACCGTTTTTGTCTTTTTTTTGAACAAATGAAATACGTAGAATTTTTTTTTCTTTATTAATAGCAGTCTTAAAGATTTTAATTTTTAAATAAACTAACGTTAATTTATAAAGTAGAAACCACTAAGGGGCTCCTACTTCTTCGGGCCTGGTAAAACTCTCCAGCTCCTTCCCCTCTTGACAACGCTGCTTCTAACGCTCCATAACAAATTTATACTTTGTGATATTCTCAAAAATATCCACTCTCTTTTGTGTTAAACTTACGTAATTTATGGATGTCTTTTTGAAAAATGAAAATTCATCATTTAAAATACCTGACTTAATTCGAAAAGTGTTTAGAAAAACTACGTTTTAAGCGGATATTTTTGATAATTGGTTTTAAAGTAGGAATGAAGAATAGAGACTTTATGATATTTTTTTTGTTTTACTTTATAATTGTTTTGTTTAATGAACTGTTCCTGATGTTACGCAGAAATTTCTATTCATAAATTACCATAAAAGAGATAAACAGGCTGGATTTACCTAAGCTACAGCTTAGGGCCTCAAGAAGTTTGAGGTCTCACTCTCTTGAGAGCAATTTGTTCGTTTGTTTCACCGGATTTGTTTACTTTAAAAATTAAATTGTAGACCAGCCCAATTTGACTGGTTACACTAATTATCAATACAAACTTGCTCAATTTTTTAGGAGGACTCATTTTCTTAATTTTCGTTAGTGAAATTTCGTCATTAATAAAAAAATAAGCTTAAAAATTTTTAAGCACTGATCAATTAAACACAGTTTCACAGAAGATAAATTTCTGAACATTTACTTTGCCGTATCATCTGTCATATCTGGTTATGCACAGAGGTCATGTGCCTGGCCTGGTCTACTATAAAAGTAAATTTAAATGTAAAATGTAAATCCTCCAAATTCAAATGTTTCTGTTGCTACGAGTATTTTGATAAATACAGGCCTACTAAAAAATATATATATTTTTAAGAAAACAAGTCATACATTGATATTATCGATTTTGCTAGGAAATTTTTGTTGCTTTGAGCTACCAATAAATGACACTATCTGGAACTTGTCCTTGTAAGTGAAAACATCTTGCTCGGAGCATAAGATAACTATGTTTCTGAGTACTAAACTAAAGTACAATGCTACGCAGGATTGTATCCAGGGGGGTTTATTGTTCTGCAGTATCCCTTGACACCAAAGTAATCACTATTGCTACTTTAAAATCAAAATAAATATGCTAATGCATATCGCATGACTTCAATGACAGAAAGTAATCATATAATCAGAAAATTTAAACTAATATTTCTCGGAGACACATGCCGAAAAGTGTGGAGCACACACTAAAGATAATTACATGAGAATTTAAATTAACTAATTTCGATCATTTATAGTGGAAATAAAAAATGTATTTTTTTTTACTTTTTCTATTTCTTTTTTTGGAATAAAACGAGTATAAATCATTAATTTGTATAATTTATAATCATTCTATAAATTCAAAATTATCTATTTTCTGTCTTCCATTTAACAATTTTAAAAAACTAAAGAAAAAGAATGATGTAAAAAGTTAGGTAACTAAAGTAATTCTGAGATAGAGTAACATTATCCAAAAAACGACTGGGGACGTGCTTTGATACCTTCGAATCTGCCTTGAACAGCAGCCATATTCTGAAAATTCGGAATACGCCATTGATACCATTGAATGAAATCGGGGAGCCAAGTTTTTTGTTAAAGCAGAATATTTTGTTAAAACTAAATATACAGTCTTCATTTCATTTGCTGGGCACTCACTAAATCAATTAGATCACTTAGTTGGCACATGTTTGAAGAAAGAAAAAGTGTACGTTTGCTAAGGTAGCAAAGAAATTGATATCACTTGAGCAGCAATCTACAGTAGATTGCTGCTCAAGTGATGTCAATTTCTTTGCTACCTTAGCAAACGTACACTTTTTCTTTCTTCTAACAAATGAAGGGCTATGATGAAGTCATGTATTCATCACTAATAAAATCTTTATCATAAATCAAATGTGAAGCACATGCAAATACAATTTTGTCTACAGAAAAGAATTAAGACTCACTGATTAATGTTTTAGAAATAATATATGTATAGGCCTACTCATGTTACCAAAGAAAAACGAAACAAGAAGGAAAACTGGGATATTTCAAGGGAAAAAAATGGAAGAATTTGTATTCATGTTGGAACTCTGGAATAGTTTTAAAGTTGTTTTATAAAACAACTAAGCTCCAAAACAGCACATAAAACTAGATAGTTGTGAAAATTTTTCTATATCATTTAGCAATTACACCGTAAAACTGAGAAACACCTTTGATAATTTAGAAATAAAAGCAAAAGATAGACTTTCATATGTTGATAACAAAAGCACAGAAAAAAAGGAGTAAACAAAGACGTGAGGGCATTAAAGATGGAATTGCACAAGAAGCTATGAAATATTCCAAGAGAAGAATTTCATACAGAAAGATTTTTCCAATCTTGGATTTTTAAGAGCTTAGTCTATATAAGCCAAAGTTAAGATTTTTAAGAGCTTAGTCTATATAAGCCAAACGTTTACAAAGCATTGCCAAAAACGTTTTATTCTTGTTTGATTTGCATGCCACAGAGGAGGGACTGCTTGCTGATTCAAACTTATCCTGAAAATGTTAACGTTGATTTAGTTTTTATTTAGTTGATTTAATCAACTAAATAAAAACTAAAAGGATGAAAGGATACCTAGTGGTCGATTAATTGCACTTTATAGTGCTTAAACAACAAAAAGAATAGCGACACGGTTTCAGATTGGCAAAAAAATTTTAATATTTATTAGTGCATTCTTTATTCAAATACTAGCAGATGAACCCGGCGTTGCTCGGGCAAAAAGTAACGATAGCGAAGATTAAGATTAATAGATTATAGTTGATCTTACCCGTTTTCATCGGGTGCAAGAATTAGATCCCGCTCTTCCGAGAGCCTAATTAGAGAATTTTTAAATGGGTCATAAAATATGTTCGATTTCTCGCAAAAATGCAAAAAACTGCATCTAAAAGAGTACATTTATAGGCTTCCTCAGATACCATTAACTCCAAGCGATAACACTTTTCGTTTTACAATTAAACGATTTCGATTTCCCATCATCCTGGCATTCGCCATGACAATGAACAAAAGTCAAGGACAGACGCTTAGTAAAGTTGATATTTATTTACCAGAACCGGTTTTTAGTCATGGTAAGTGTGTATACCGTTCAACAATCCTCACCAAATTTGACATGAATATTTTTAACACCCTAGAAAAAATACTGTAGGGTTTCCTACCCCAACTACTCCTAAAGACCATTCTCTCTTTACTCTCTTTACTTATTATGTATTTTTTAGGTAAAGGATTCTATACCGTTCAACATATTCGCATCAAATTTGGCATGAATATTCTTCGAAATCCTAGAAAAATTACTGTGGAATCTCTCTCCCAAACACCCATAAAGCTCACTCCCTGTTAACTCTAGCCCGAGCAATTTGTGTGTGTCTGTGTTTTGCAGTTTGATTATTATAAATAACTCAGGTCAATAAATGTACAGTAAATTTTAGTTAATAAGACTATTGTTTTTATTAACCTCTCCCAAGTTAATCTCACCAATCCCCCACTTCTATAAAGCCCGAACGCAGCTAGTATTTTATTAAAGAAAAGTTTTATGTCTGTGACAAAACTTTTAAAAACAATATTTCTGGTAGATATATTATTTTTATCATTATTATGTGTAGCTTAATTATTATTTCTACAAAAAATATTATTTGCTGAACTCAACGTAATTTTAAAGAAGTTATCTCGATTAGTTTTCTTAAATGGCTTGTCCAAAATTCTTTACACTTCTTTCGAATCGGTAACTTAATACAGAAGAAAGACTCGTTAAAAGCAAAGAAAGGTCGAATAGTTAGAATAAATATTTAACAAAGCACCAAATCGTGTAAGTCGCTATGTTGTTACAACAATGTAGAGATTGTAGATCACGTGCCTTGGTAAACACTCACGACCTCCAATGTTTTATTCAATTTAATCAAGCTTTTATACGTTAAATTATTCTTGTGTTCGTTCATAAAAAATTCAACATTTTTAAAATAAGTCGGATAAGGGGGGAGGGTTGTGCTTCAGTGGATGTCAGTATATTTCATTAAAATTTATACAGTTTATGCATTTTATTATATTTATTTCAAAATTACTTGTATGTTTCGTTTCTATATAATTATGGTAACTATCATTCGTTAAAATGATAAAGGTTTTAAGGGAGGTCGAGTTTTGTTGGACGTCCGAAGACGGGACCCCGGGGTTACGAAACTTGGACAAACTGGGACAAGAGGAGGAGGAGGAGTAAAAATTTTCAAGAAAAATGCGAACATAATTTATGTACAGCCTATAGTACTGGTCACGTAATTGATCGAAAATCGCTAAAATTGTTAACAATTCGATTGAGTCGAAATATATTCTTTTTTAAAAATATAGTTTTCTGCCTATCTAGAGGTCATAAGGTTTAATTTCAGTCCTCCTTTGCCAAATTTGTTCAATGTGAAGTATATGAGCTAACACGTATGTGATTTTTAAGTCATTTTGTTATTTATACACTATACAGTATTCTAAAATATTGTATAGTGTATAACAAAATGATCTAAAATCAGGATCGCCATACTTTTTTCACAACCGGCCAGATAACTGAGAGAATGACGAGTGCGAGCTGCATAACCATTTTGTTCAATACAATACACTGAATATACAAAAAATAAAGACAGCAAACATATTTATTTACTAAAAAGTTATCAAAGAAGGCAACAGCAATAACATTTAACGGCAATGCAAATTAAAACACGATCGCTGCAGGAGACTGGTGTCGCTTTTCTTAGAAACTTCATTGCATGTACAGTACTTAAACAAAAAGTGTTGATATCCAAAGTTGCAATAAGTCGTAGAATTTTTTATTTCACTGATTTTCCTAGAAATTATATTACTGTCAGATGCAAAAATCCGATTTGATGAATTTGGGCATTTTTACTTACACTGATTTTAATTTTTTGTACATAGTAACAAAATAAGTTAGTTATATAAATATTTTTGTAAATAGTAAATTTATACAATCTACATATAAATAATTATATTTCGGCTCATTTGTAGCACAGTGCGGGGGCGAGCCGGATGAACTGACCTCGCGGGCCGTAGTCTGGTGGCCCCTGATCTAAAAGTAACTTCTACCTTCTTTTCTAATCGAATAAAGTTATCGGTTGTTTTTCGATCCTTAATTCTAACTACAAAGGAAACGAATTTGCAACATGCACTATTTATTGTTTGACGCGACGCGACGTGTTGTAAATTCCGCTAACTCCAGTGACGTAATGATTGGGTATGTCGTTGTAAAAAAAATTTTGTGTCGAACCCTCTATTGTGGGCCTGGCTGAACACGTAATGGTCATAGTTCTCTTATAGCCCAGAGTATGGAAAGAGTTTAAAACTAAAATTGTTTAAATTAATATTGAGAGTAAAATTCAAAAATTAATTTCTGTTTTCATTTTTAAAATTCATTATTTATAAAATGAAACTTTTTTAAATTGTAACCCGTCTCCACGACTTATTCATTTGGCCCGCCAATCGAAAAGTTTAGACATCCCTGATCTATGCACCTGGGAGACTTTCTATGGGAAACACTTTTGTTTTCTAGATAGGGGTCCTAAACAGAGAAATAGAACAACAAGGAATATTAGCAGTGTATTTCTAGAAAACTGTACCAAACAGGAAAATTATTAATATTTTATTGTTATATTATCCAAGCTAATATTTTTTTAATAGTTATTAAATAATTGTTAAATAGTTATTAAATAATAGTACTTTCAATAGTTATTAAATAATTTTTAAAACATTATTAATTTAATGTCACTAATAAATAAATAATATGGTAAAATAACTGTTATACACAAATAAATATATTAAATTTACAAAAATTTTTTGTTAACGAAATCGAAAATTTAGATATTTAGTTTTTATTATTTTTACACGCCAGAGGACGCAATCTAAAGAAAAATGGCGCCGTCCATTACAGTAATTTTAAATACATAGCAGCTTTTATTTCTTTGCAGCATAAAATTTATTTTGTATAAAATGTTGTTAATAACTTAATTCATCTCGCTAGATGTAAGTTTTAATAGATGGAGAAAACATTAGAATCATTACAAAGAGTTTTAACGAGTGGAAGTAGTCATCGAAGGTTTCTCCTTCCTATGATCGGTAATAGGAAGAGATTTGGAGATTTCGTTGAGCGACTGAGAATTGCTTCTTCGAAACATGAAGAAGATGAATTAATAAAAAATAAATTGCTTTTTCTTCAAAATCAACTTACTCAACCTAATATTACTTTGGATGATGTTGAAGAGTGCTTATTATATGCCATGTATTGTGAAACTCTTGGCTATGATTGTTCTTTTACTTACATCCATTCTTTAAAGTTAGCTCAACAAGGAAATCTTCATCAGAAAATGATAGGTTATGTTGCAGCCAGTATTTTTTGAAACAAAGATCATGAATTAGTCATTCTTCTAATAAATACAATACAAAAGGATTTGAAAAGCTCAAATATTGCAGAAATATGTATGGCTCTTATAACTGTTTGCCATCTAATCAATCATGAAATGGTTCCTACAGTACAAAATTTAATAGAAGAAAAACTGAATCATTCACACCCTTTAGTAAGAAAGTTTGCCGTATTAGCCTTTCAACATTGTTTGAATCAGTTACAGAATTGGCATATTAGTTCAGCAGCAGTGCCTAAACTAGAAAAAGCATTGTCAGATGGAGATTTAAGTGTAGTAACTTCTGCAATTTCAACATTAAAGCAGTTAACCAAGGTGTAGATATGGAGGCAGGGGAATCTTTCCTTAAGTTACTTTATGTAGAGTTAGATTATTAATAATTATAATTGATCAAGGGAATACAAATTATAAAACTAAAGTTTTATTAGATTTATAATACTGAATATGGTAGAGTATATTTTGCAGTTATGGTTGTATTGTCTTGATCAATCATAAAATTAATTAGAAATTAAATAAAGTCTTTAATTTTGTTTAATTTCTAAGTTGGTTATATTGTATTTTTTTTATTTATTTTTTGTATTGTTTTTGAATTTAATATATTATATATTTTTATGATTTTACACTCCAGAGGAATTTGAAAAATTTCAAAACAATTCTAGTTATGTTTTTAACTACCCTTTACTAACCTTTAACATGCAGTCTATGTTATTAACATAATCTAACGTTAATAAAATAGATTGCATGTTAAAGGTTAGTAAAGGGTAGTTATTTTTTTAGTAAGTGCAGTTTGAGAAGAGTTATGTTTTTGTAAATTACACTAGTTTAGATTTTAATTTGTTATTTTTGATTCTAAGCTAAAATTCAAAGACCATGTAGATAAGATTATTAAACTACTTGCAAGTAGATGTGGTATTTTTTGGCAGCGGATCCATTTTGTCTAGGACTGTTTTAAGGTCTTTATTTTTTACAAACTTCCAGCCATTAATTGATTATTGCATTTTTATTTTGTATTCACCTGTTGACATTCTTATAGACAAAGTTATTAAGGTATTCAATAAAGTGTGCTTCTTGTTTAACAAACAGTAATTTACCTTGCAAGAAATCTATCAATTCAATTGCACCTTAGCTTTCCCTCTAAATAATAGGGCAATATATGTTTATTTAAGTTTTAAATGGTCCTATACTTATGAATATTATTGGTGTCCATGTCCCTACTCATATTAGTCATAATTTATCTTCTTTACATTACCTTAATTTTAGAGCAAATGACTCATATTGTTTGTTCTTTTACCCTAGTATTACTAATATGAATAATTTTGTAAAAACACTATGTACCTGTGAAATGATGTATTTTTCTTACTTTTTAAATTTGTTTTGCAATTTTTATGGGGTTGTAATTTTTTTCTTTCTTGTTGCTTGGAGGTGGTAATCCTGTGTTGCCAGAAACAACTATTACTTATGTAAAATTAAATAAATAAATAGTTTTTTGCAAGTTTCTGGTGTTTGATAGCATTGAATTCTTTGGTGATACCATATTTGTTTTTTACTTTCTTTGCTGCTTCTTTTATCTTTAGCTAAAAAAGTTAAAGTGAAATTAATTATGTACAGTACCATGCTTAGATATTGAAAAAATGTAAGTAAAATTCTACCATCTAGATTCAAATGTCATTAAACACAGGACAAGATTCAGCAGTTTATGGAATTTGATGCATGTTTTCTGTATTTTGAGTAATACAATGCCTTCTACAAACATACTAGAGTCTGTTTCAAAGAAGTTGGCTCCTGATATAACAAAAATACATGCCATTTTGCCTTGTGATTGATCTAATTTAAATAATATCAGGTGAACATGAACTGAGGTGAAACTGATTCTTCTAAATAACATAATTTCAAATAATTTTGTTTTAAAATATTGGAGAAAGGAAAATTTCCTGTAAATATAAATTTTATTTACCTGAAAAACTAAAGTTTCTTTAGAATTTAGTATAACTTTCAAAACAAATTTGTGTTGATTAGTTGAAGTATGATTTTGTTACACAAAATCATACTTCATCTATAATAATAATTTTATAAATGAAAAACTTTAATTGTAAGTAAATAATAAAATC